ACAGAACTGGGCAAGGTTTTGTGGCAAAGTCTAATCTGGCCTTACTATTCTTGAGGCTTGCACTCTTGAATTAATTCTTATCTTGATTGTTAAACTTTCACAATGATATGCCTAACTCCTAGAGAGTGTCCCTAATGTTTCTAGATGTTGTTAAGGTGTTTTTCACATCTCACTTATTAGGGGTGTTGTCAGCCTGCTGTGCACTTCTGCAGTTGGCTGTTGGGCTGCCTATCAGGTCTGCAGCCCAATGGCTAACCAAAGGTGCACGCACCGCAGGCTCACAGTGCTGCTGCCTATTGAGAGGCATTGGCTTGGTGTTGTCAGCCTGCAAAAGGTAGTGCTGTTGCTGGCAGGATTGCTAGATAAGAAATTTTGCAAAAATGAAAATTGCCATGAGAAACAGCTTGAATTGGGTATACATTTTATTATCTATTGAAAAGCAAGTACACATAGTGATTGATGATTGTATCTACAACTATTTTAAAATCTTTATTCCTTAGGCAGTATATGATTGGATTAATCAGAGGGGTGACAACAGTGTACAGTAATGACAGAAGTTTTGTATACCATGATTGTCCACTACGGGGTATTAGGTAAACACAAACCATTGTACCATAATAGATAAAAACAACAGTCAAGTGGGAGCTGCATGTTGAGAACACTTTCTGTCTCCCAGTAATAGATGGGATTTTAAAAATGGTGATTATAATATACACATAGGATACAATGATAACAAAGAATGGGATGACAACAAAGACAAAATTCATCAGTGTCACTTCGAGTAGAACAATAGTAGTATCAGAGCAAGAGAGCTGTAGGATCGGGTCAAGATCACAGAAAAAGTGATCAATGATATTGGAGCCACAAAATGTTAACTGTGATATTGTTAAAGTGGGAATCAGTGATATCGAAGCACCTATAATCCAACAAGTGATGACCATTATGCAGCAGAACTGGAAGTTCATTGCTAGGTTATAATGCAATGGTTTACAGATGGCCAAATATCTGTCGTAACACATTACTGTCAGAAGAAGACACTCAAGAGATTCAGAAATACAAAAGAAATAAAACTGGGAGATACAATCAGAAAATGAGATTATGGTCTCCTTCCTAAAAGCAGCACACAGCATATTTGGAAGAATATCGGTTGCCAATAATATATCTGATACAGAAAGCTGGGAGAGGAAGAAGTACATGGGGGAATGGAGGGTTTTGCTGTAGGACACCAGTGTGATGATCAGGAGGTTTCCACATATTGTCACACAATAAATCAAAAGAAAAAGGAAAAAGAGAAAAAATGCAATACGGTGTGGAGTCTGAAGTCCTGAGAGGTGGATCATGGTAATACTGGACATATTTTTCTTTTCCATAATCCCAAAGACATAATATGAAAAAAAAAGCTTTGATAGATGGGTAAAATTATGTGATTTTTATTAAAAGCAATTAACCTGTGGAAGTCATGACTTCATTTTCTGTAGGAAATAGATAAAGTAACATTTAATATTCTTGAGGATGAAAATGGAAAATGATTGTAACAGTTGCCAAAACAGTTTCACTATTTATTTTTAATTAAAGTGACACTGAACTCAGGAGTTAAATCTTCAAAATACATTCAGGTACCTTAGCTGTGAACAACAATGTATCTTATTTGTGTATCACTCGGCTGTAGATCCTCCAATCATCTCTGAATTGGTGCTGACACTGTCCTTCCTTCTGGAGGGGGGCTACTAATGTTCCCCATGGTCCCTGTGTGTGTTGTAAAGTAGTCACCACTCCAAGCTCAATCCCAGGATGGACTACAATCCCAACACAAATCAGTGATCTAAACATGAGATTTGTAGTTCATCCCGGGAGCGAGCTTGGAGCCGTGACTACTTTGCAACACACACAGCGACCATGGGGAACAGACGTAGCCCCCCTCCAGAAGGAAGGACAGTGTCAGCACCAATTCAGAGATGATTGGAGGATCTACAGCCGAGTGATACACAAATAAGATACATTGTTGTTCATAGTTAAGGGACTTGAATGTATTTTTAAAATGTAACTCCTGAGTTTAGTGTCACTTTAACATATAATAGAAATGTAAATTTCCTTTAATTCCAAATGAATAGTCATATAAATTTAATTAAATTGAGACATGCAAATGCATCCAAATTTCTGAATTTGAATCCATCCGAATGCAAACTAATCTGAATGTTTATTTAATGAATATTTGGCTCCATCCAAAAGGATCTACAGCCGACTGATACACAAATACGATACATTTTTGTTAAAAGTTAAGGGACTTGAATGTATTTTTATGTTTTCACTCCGGAGATTAGTGTCACTTTAACATGTCATAGGTATTATTTTAGAGCAGAATACAATCAGATCATACTTCATACCTGCATGCTCACGCAAGTTTGCTGTTTACCTTCCATGAAAGTTAAAAAGACAAACCAAATAGTTACCTGTGACCTTAAGCCCTAAAAACAATAAACAAGAGACTATAAATGTGAAAAGCTGGCATTCAACTCCTCTGTCTCTTTCATTGCCAGCTCTTCTGCCCAGGGTTTAGGTTGAAAGCAGCAGATAATTAGTGAATCTGTTGGATCTGGAGGGAGACCTGGGAAGCAGGAAGACAGTTTTTGACTTTAGATCCACTGTAACCGGTCAAAAATATAATTTGCCCAGTTTTTAAATTACTTAGATCATGTGAACCCTCTGTTGATGCTTACATGAGGCAACAAATAATATTCCGAAATATTAGGTGCAGCAATAAGCATTTTCCTCAATTGAATCTACTGATTATATTTAATATGGTTTCTTTTATATGTTAGTATCTAGAATTATATTGAATGCTGGGAATAGGAAATCTTCTTTGTTATTTTCAAGAGACTCATTATTATTGATCTGTAGGGAAATTATTTTCCCATTTTTCTGTCAGAAAACCTCATTATTATTTCCTATTGAGAGTAAATTTAATTATTATTATTGTGCATTAAAGTAATATTCAAAACTGAAACGTGTGTTGCCAGATCCAGATAACAAGGAGCAGGCTACCTGAACTTCCTGTTGGGGAACGTGGGCACTGTGTACTAGGTTACAAGTAGACATGTGTGATTCATTTTGTTCTAAATAGAAATTCATATGCATTTTGGGAAATTCCTAATTTTGGATGCATACAAATTTCCGAATGATAGAAATAATGACAATTTCGGATGCATCCAAATGTATGAATATCCAAAAATTCTAACAAATTTCAGATTTTTGTTTTTGCGGACTGTAAAAAAAGATGTAGTTTTTTGTCAGTTTGCTGTAATCAATATTTGTCTGAATCCATATTCCGAACTGAAATGACTTTCAGACCCAGATCCCGAAAAACTAATTAATGAAAAATATTAAACTAAACCAATTTTATGCTGGCTTACATGTTTTGTTACATGTGGCAACTCAGGCTCCAGAAGCTGTCCATCTTTTTAGCCTGGAGGGAAGGGGGAAGCAAAGGAGTGGCTTACTGTTCTAGCCCGCATGTCTTTGTGTTTATGGTACCACATACAGTAGTAGAACACAGTGAGCAGTGGCTTCTAGTCCCAGCTGGGAGTGCGCATGTAATCTATGCATGTCTTTCAAGTGTGGGAGGACATGCAAACTCCATAGTGTTGCATTTTTTCATTTTTCATTTCTATTATCTATGGAATCTAATGACAAAACACACACAAAAAAACTATACTGACCAGCTTTTTTAAAATAATACCAGAAGTATTGTACAAAAGTTATTGTGTAATATTTTATATAATGACACTTGAAATGCATTCCTGAAGTTAATTACAAATAAAATAAAAGCAATTTATCAATAATATTGTTACAATAGATTTATTCATGAAGCTAGGAAACATCATTTGTCAGATTAGGTACTCCAAGTGCTTTCTTAGTTATTTACATGAAATAATCATTTAGGGAATGTAGCCAAAGCCTGAGCTATTCATCTGCTTACTGATACTGAGCAATTATCTTAAAAAGTATGAAGCCATTAGATCAACATGCCAGCTATACAATTCATTTTTTTTTACTTGGTGGTTAGATATGAATTCAGTCCCAACATGGGTTCAGACCAGACTTTGCTTGTTCGATCGTTTGTCCTAATGGCCAAACATTTACTGTAGAGCCAAAGGAAATCTCACCGTTCCAATTCATTAGCCGCCATCAGGACTCCCCAGGTGCTGGTCTAATAGGTCCGTCTCCACCTTGGAATGCAGTAGTATACGAACAGACAGAGAATTCGAATACTTCTGACTTTATTGACATGTCTATGAATAAGCCTACAGGTGAAATATGTGAGAGGTTGTAGATGGTTGGGGGTGTGCAGTGCTGGTATTTGTTGCTTTATACACTTTTATTCACTGTTCGGATTTGCTGTGGATTTCAATAAAGTCTGAAGTATTGGAATTCTTTGGATAGTGTAGTCTGTTCGTATACTACAAACATTTACTGTGTTTGGTGGGAGGTGAACATCATATAAAATAGCTGTTTTTCTACTGCTATTATATATGACAGCTTCTTACTGTCAATGGTTACTATGGAAGTGGTAGGTGTCTGCACCAGCTGCATCTTTATCGACCAATGATATTGTCCGGCCCATTCACTTACATGGCTATGAATCCCCAGTGATGTAAGAAAAGGGGCAGACAATGGGTCACTGGTTTCTAAGATGCTGCTGGCTGCATAGTTGAAAGCCTCTAGCATGCAATGATGCTAATAGTGGGCGAGCCCAATGCAAAATTCTGAGAGACAAGTACCCCATCATGTCCACCTCCCTTGTGATTGACAGCAGGCAGTGGGTGGATTCCATAGCCAATAATCCGCTCTTTATTGGCTATGGAATCGGCCCACTGTAAGTCAGTCAAAGCAGGATGGACCTGATGGGGAACTAGTCCCTTGGCATCCTCATCAAGGTCCACCCACTGTCAGCATTATTAGTTGTTAGGGAGTCTGTTGGCTTGAACTTGGAACCCATTTTATTATTTACTGAAATGCAAGTGCAGACAGTGGTTTATGATTTTAGCCACAGTTTTTTTCAAGTCTTTATTTCTTAGGCTATATATCATTGGATTCATCAGAGGTGTGACTACAGTGTACAGCAATGACAGGAACTTAGTTATGTTCCATGAATGTCCTTTACTAGGTACCAAGTAAACACAAACAAGAGTGCCATAATAGATACAAACAACAGTCAGGTGTGAACTGCATGTTGAGAATACTTTCTGTCTGCCGGTAATAGATGGAATTCTAAAAATGGTGATTATAATATACACATAGGATACAATGATAATAAAGAATGGAATGACAACAAAAACAAAATTCAACAATGTCACTTCGAGTAGAACAATAGTAGTATCAGAGCAAGAGAGCTGTAGGATCGGGTCAAGATCACAGAAGAAGTGATCAATGACATTAGGACCACAGAATTGTAACTGTGATATTGTTAAAGTGTGAACCAAGACTATTAAAACACTTAAAACCCAACATGTGATAATCATTATACAGCTGAGCTGAAAACTCATTGCTAGAGTATAATGCAATGGTTTACAGATGGCCAAATATCTGTCATAACACATCACTGTTAGTAGAAGACACTCAGAAGTTTCTGAAACACAAAAGAAATAGAACTGGGAGATGCAATCAGAAAATGAAATGATGGTCTCCTTCATCAAAATTGTGCGGAGAATGTTCGGAAGAATATCAGTTGCCAGTAAGATATCTGATACAGAAAGCTGTGAGAGGAAGAAGTACATGGGAGAATGGAGGTTTTTGCTGTAGGACACCAGTGTGATGATCAGGAGGTTTCCACATATTGTCACACAGTAAAGATTTAGAAAAAGAAAAAAGATGAAAAATGTCACGCTTGGTGGAGTCTGAAATCCTAGAAGGTGGATCATGGTAATACTGGACACATTTTTCTCCTCCATTATCTGAAAACAGAACAATGCAAAACAAGGAAACAGGTTTGTTCAGAGGGTAAAATTGGATTTAATGAGGTAATATTTTTGTAGACACCTGGCCATCACAACTATATGAGCTTGTTAGACTTTCAATTACATTAGTATGGAATGTCATTAGTATGTACTTTCAATATGTGGCAGCAGGTAGATAAGGTTGTCTGTGTTCAAGTGTAATAATGAAGTTCTTCCTCTAGGGGGAAGTGCTGAGAGGGCTGGAGGCTTGGAGGTAAGGAGCCCAGCTGAAGCTAGCTGGCTTGTTAGGGCCTCTACAAGAAGTCCCAGCCTCCTAAGAAAGCCGCTCCACCCTGGAACCAGTCTATATGTCTGGCAGAATGGGAAGCAGTTCACCTGTGTGGCAAACGACAAGCCTGTGTGGCAATCAACCTGTGTGGTGAAAAGACAAGCCTGTGTGGCCAGAGGTTTTGGTTAAAGGAACCAACTGAAGTCAGTGAGACTTGAAATTTTATTTTGCTAACAGAAGAAACTGTACTTTATGTTTGAGAACCCCTGCGAGAGAACACCTGTGTGGACTTTTGAGTTAATAAAAGTGGCCAAAGAAGCCCTTAAAAAGTAGAAAGCGAGTGGAGGTGTCCTTAATGCGCTACAATTTTAAGCTAATTCTCACAATTAGTATGGAATTTGTGCCCTTGTTTTGTAGTTATATCTACAGACTATATGGCTATAGTCTCCATTATCCGGGAAGGATTTCCACAAGATTATAGAGGGTGTCTGTGGGAATCTGTGTCTATTAAGCCAAAAGAGCCATTGTAATTTTCGGTGCTAATGTTAGATGAGACGACCTAGCATTCATCTCAAAGGTGTTTAGCAGGGTGGATGATAGAGCTCTGTGTAAACCACTTGAGTTTCTTCCAACCAAACCCAAACAGTGCCTTTATGGAGCTGGCTTTGTGCAGAGGGGCAGAGTCCTGATGTAACAATAAAAGGCCCTTTCTCAAACTGTTGCCACACATTTGGAAGTGTACAGTTGTCTAAAATGTCATTGTATTCTGAAGCATTACGCATACCCCTCATGGAAAACACACATACCGTATTAATTTGGAGGAGCATCTGCATACTTTGGCCATATAGTGTAGGTGTGCAGCACAAAAGCACTGTGATTAGCACTCCAGCCTTGCAGCCCTGAAGTCTCCAACTTGAATTACAGTCAGGAAACTGTCTGCATGGAGTTTCTATACCCCCCTGTAATTGTGTGGGTTTATTTCCACTTTCCAAAGACAATCTGGTAGGTTAATGGTCCCAAGTATGCATTGTGCATGTGGAGATAGGAACCTTTGATTTTTTTTTTAGGGCAGAGATTGATGTGTATGTAAAGTGCTGTGTAAATTGTTGGTGCTATATAAATATCTATGTAATAAATACAGCGTGATTGTTAGATCTCAACAAACATTTGTTAAAATATTTTGTTTAACTATGGATATTTCATAGGTTGTTGAGAAGAAGAATGTTGGATCATTTCAAATAAATGTAGTGCTTGGGCTTGGTGCTTGATCTCAGAACCTGAAACTAAGCCACTGCCATTATTGTAGTGCTTGATTCACTGCTCAAATCTTGAAGAGGTCTCCAATTGCCTGGCACAGACGCACCGTTCATCTTAAAACAATTCAAATTGACCTAATATAAACTAATTATTTGTGATTTATGTCTCTCAACAAAGTACCAATGAAATAACAAACACACTTAAAGTGACAGTAAAATCAGTTAAATCTTAAAAATACATTTAAGCACCTTAACTATTAACAACAATAAATCTTATTTGTGTATCACTCGGCTGTAGATCCTCCAATCATCTCTGAATTTGTGCTGACACTGTCCTTACTTCTAGAGGTTGACTACTTCTGTTCCCATAGCCACCGCTGTACTGTGTTGTAAAGTAGTCACCGATCCAAGATCACTCCTGTGATGGATTACAATCTCAATACAAATTATGAAACTAAAACGTGAGATTGTAGTCCATCCCGGGAGCGAGCTTTTTTTAATAAACATGCTGGAGGATATGATAATAATACTTAAATAAAGTAGGGCTGGTAATAAATAAAAAAAATTGTGTTCGATTAATAGAAAAAAATTTTAATCGATTAATTGATTAATTTCGATTAATTATAATGCACATACAGATCCAACTACATTGACTGTTGACTCCTGGATACCTATTACCTGATGCATTATGGCTAAAACTATGACCCAGTGACCAGAAATGCAAAAGGCAGATGCGTTGACTGGTCTTTTTAGGTTTTCATGAAGGAAGACTGCTTCTGGGGCAGTAAGACCTAAAAGCAGAATGCAACTTTAGGTTCACTTCAATTATGCTTCAATCAATGAAATAAAACAAATATCTATCATATGCATTTTCATGTACTTACAGAATTGGAAAAATCAGTTAATAGTTACATATTAATATTTAGTTATATAATGCAACAAACAAATAATCCAAAAGATCCAGTGCAGCAATAAGTGTTTTCTCTTCACTGTTGAGTTGAGATGTATATATATATATATATTGTTGCTTTATATGGAAGTTGATGGAGTTACATGTAATCCCTGGGAACTGTATGTGTTCAATCATATTTTCATGGGGCTCATTATTTTTGATGCTGGGAAATTATATTTAGATTTTGTTTTAATTTAATGTCACAAAATTGATTCTTGTCTATTGTTCTTGTTTAACCGTTTATTGGAAAAAGGTAAAAACATTTGAGTGCTATAAAAAGAACATACAATGAGTTAGGGAACATGTGGCCAGGCATTCAATTATTTATACATTCTTAAAAATAGGAATGCACCGATACCGATACTAGCATCGGTATTGCCCACATTTTCCTATACGCACCTCCAATACTGGAACTTTCAGTCAGAGGGAGATATCCCTCTGACTGACTTCAGGAGGTAACATGGAGCTGGCTTTCCTTCCAATCAGGAAGCCGAGTGGTGAGTTATGCGGTGCCATCCGGCTTCCTAAATGGTCAGGAAGCAACACTGCCTAGAAACATGGGAAGATGGCTTCCTAGCCAACTAGGAAGCCAGGAGGCGGGTCATGACGTGCTGCCCGGCTTCTTGATTGGCTAGGAAGCCGGCTTCACTTGTTGCTAGGCAGCCTGGCTTCCAGTAAGGAAGCCGGAGGGCACCTCATGATTCACTGCCCGGCTTCCTGATGGGTCAGGAAGCCAGACAACCTCAGCAAGTGAAGCCAGTGTTATTTTGCTAGAACACCGGCTTCACAGGCAATCAGGAAGCTGGGCAACGGGTCATGATACGCCAACCAACTTCCTGATAATTGCACAAGGCACCAGTACTTGGTGCAAAAAATATCGGTACTCGTACTCGATAAAACTGGAGGAACTGCTAGACAATTCACCTTAAAAACTAAGCTCAGAAGCAGTAAAGTTGTTCAAGGAGTTTCCTCACTGTGGTCCCCTCTTACTGTGTACCTGCTCTGTGTTTATATTAGAGATTCAATGGTTGGAAAGCAGAAAGCTTAAAATGACATTAAAGTCAAAGATTGTTTTCCCACCCCCATGTTAATGAAAGCACTTACCTTAAATTATGTCTCTTAATCCGATCTTCTTTCCTGTCATTTTCATCTGTCCCTCCAGAGTTGTTGCGGGTCTCCGATCCAGCGCTGACTCCTCTGTCCTTTGCTGCCACTTTCTGTCCCAAGGTGTCTGCCTGCAGGTGCACGCGTCCATATACTTACCTTGTGTCCCGGCCGAAAATGTGAACTGCGCATGTGCCCCCCCCCAAGATGCTTTGCAGCCGCCCGAGAATTTTCAAATTTTCGGACGGGAGCGCGCGGGGAAGACACAGGTAAGTTTAAACTGCTTTTAAAGCTTTGTTTTTTTAACACTTTTTGCATATATCTTCTGCTTGCTAGCCATAGATATATGCAAAAACACCAGAGGGTTTTATAAGACTTTAATAGCAGGAAACAGGTAAAATGAAATGGTTTAGTCCAGGATTTGAGTACTTCGTTGGAAATTGATGATTCATTGTTCCACAGTGCTTGCAGCTACAGAGGTTAGTGATGGCTTGTTTTAAAAACAATTTAGCGTTGGTTAAGAAGAATAATTTTAATGTTTATAGCCTTCCTGCCATTTCACATTAACACGTATCACTATGTAGTACCTTTCTCTCCATATTTGCCCTTAGGTCGCCATACCGTTTTTGCAATTGTTCACTTTATTGTTTAAGAATTTTTCACTTTCAGATTTTGTAAAATACACTCAAATCCTTTATTTTATGAAAACACAGGACTAATGGAATAAAAAGATTGTGTTTCTGATTTTGGAGATGACATGACAGTTGTGAAACTGTTTGTCAAGTGAATTAGAATTGTTATTAGCGCACACAAACACAATATATCTTACAAATCCTTAATAAATCTACAGCATAGAGTTATTGAGTTAATAAATAACAATTATTTGTACATTTTCAATTGTGCCTTTAGGAGAAGGGGTCAAAATGACAAAATGATATGGTAAGTGGTAAGTTTGATAAGTGTCTGTAATTCGTATGTGTGTATGGAGGGAGGTTGTTTATTTTAATGATGTTTTATTCATTGTTTCACAAGCCTTGATGACAGTATATACATCAATTGTGATAGGTCCTCTTTGGAGAAATATCAGGAGTCTAAACAGACCCCTGATGTTTCCCCTTTGTGATGGAGAAAAAGATCAGGGGCGCAGAGTACTCCATCTCCTCCACCCCGTTCCTGATAACCATCACTTATTCTGAACATGGAAGTGCTCAGTATTGAGCTCTTCCGTGCTCATTCACAAATTGGAGGAGATTATTAAACACTCTTCATATGTTTACTATTCTCCTTCAGTTTCTGAATTTACCCAGAAGAGCTTAGTACTGTTACTTGT